ATGTACTGGAAGAGGATGTGTGGAGAATGAGCTACTCAGCACAGAACCAGGCCCCCTCTGCACTTACATGCTGGGTGATCTGTTCCGTGCCTGCCCAGGAGGTGCTCCACCCTGCTCCATACTTCCTGGGTTGTCACCTGCATGTATGCCTGCTGGCAGCGCTGCACCAGTTGGTGGAAGGCCGGGGCACGCAGGTGGTTGTGGGCATGAGCAGGGCTCAGCCGCTGCAGCGTCTCCATGACGATCTCCTGCAGCACAAACGGGCTCAGCACCCCCTTGGCTGCCCCCACACAGAACTGGTGCACGTAGTTCACTCCTGGGGGGCAGGGGGAGGGGCATGAGACGGGGGTGGCCACCTTTGCCCTAGGGACCCAACTTTTATCTCAGCTCTGGCCTGGCAGAGAGCCTCCCTCCACCCCAGGAGCTGAGGTAGCCCCCCGTCCCCCGCGCACGCACACATACCCGACCAAGGCCTCAACTCTGAGCAAGAGCTAGGAAGGAGGTCTGGGATAGGAAAGTGGGGGAAGCAGGTAGGGGTGGACAATGGTCCTGGGGAGGGGAGGTGTTACCCAGCTTTGCTGCCAGCCCCAGCAACCATTTGACATCATCAGTGTAGGGGGGGGAGCGGGAGAAGTTGTTAGGGTGATCGTTGTGTGCCCGGCGACCCAGCATCTCCAGTGCCAGCATTCCTGGGAGAAAAGAGTGGGCACATGGTGGGGTTGCATCTTCGTTCTCTACCCCAAACTGGTACCTGACCCCACAGTAAACAAATTAAGAGGTATAGGAGGGGTTGTCACTGAAGAGCCCCTGGCATGGGGGTACAGAGAGGGACCTCTCACCAACACGGTAGGCAGCATGCAGGTGGTGTAGGCTGTGTGGGTTGACAGGCTGGCTGTGCGTCTCTTCCTCGGGTGGTGGAAAACCCCCGCTCACCAGAGGGCTGGGCTGTGTGGTCAGGGCAGGCAATGAGGCACCCTGGATGGCTGGAAACGTGGATGCTGGATGGACACTGCTCACTGAGGGATGAGAGCCACGTGAGAAACAGCCCCAAGAGGGGCAGAGGAAATTCCCTCCCTCCTGCCCCTGCCCAGTGTACCTCCCCTCCATTCACCTGTTCCCTGTCCCCACAACTCACAGGCCACACTGGTGGGCAGTGGGAGCCCTGGCTCTGTGTGATAGGGATGTACTGTGATGGGTGCCATGGAAGGGACGGGGAAAGACACAGCAGTGGCAGCAAGTGAGGGGGGAGTCACCGAGTAAGGGTACTGAGCCCCCAGGAATGCAGGATGCACACCCTAGAGGCAGAAAGAAAAGAGAAAGAAGATACCAAATTATATTAGTATGTAACTTTCCCCCCTTCATCCCACAACTGGGTATCCCTACATTTCTTTCCTTAGTTGGGCTGGGTCCCCCAGACTCCCACCCATCACCTCACTGAGGACTCTTGGACAGCTCTATTCTCCCAGCGTACCCTATGCCAACCCCCATGAACACCTTATGTTCTCCCACATGCCAAACCCCTCCCGCTCCCCCCCCCCCCCCCCCCGGAGAACACTGGTCTCACCTGTGGGTATGCAGAGCTGGGCACAGGGAAGACGGCAGGCCGGGGCATATGAGGCATGGGGTGGGCGGGGTGAGCTGGGTGGGTGAGGTATTGAGGGCTGCAGGGCAGGTGGGGCTGTAGAGCAGTGTAGGGGTGCAGGCCAGGGGAATGACCATGCCCCAGTCCTGGACCTGGATATAAACTGGACCCCACTGAAATGACTGGCACCACTGTGGCTGCTGCTGTCACTGCTGCTGCTGCCACTGTAACCGGCTCAGTCCCTGGGCCCCCCCTGCCCTCAGGCAGCCCCCGCCCAGCCTCCCCAGCTGCCCTGATCCCACTGGCACTACAGCTTGTAGCCCCTTCACGGGCTGTGGATGAGCCACCTGCTGTTTGCTCATATAGCCAGAACCACTGGTGAGCAACCTCAAACAGCACTTCGGGGTATACGCCCCCACCCTTAGCCGCCTCTTCCACCGCCATGCAGGCTTTCTCCAACATCAGGTTATCCTAGAAGGGAGGGGCACAAAGGGTTAAGGGGGAAGGGCTTTATTCAGGGATCACATTCCATCTCCCCCAGAGTTGGCTGGTTCCCAGGGAAGCATTAGAGGTCAGAGTCAATGCTCAGAGTCTGTCAGAGCAGTGAAAGCTTCACAAAGACACTGAACAAATATTTGCTGACCAGTAGAAGTCAAAACCCGGGTTATAGTCCCAGTTCCAAACTAATTTAGCCACTCTGTTCCCTCCAAGTCCCATCATGTCCCCAAGGCCTTCCCTAAGTGATCATCTTGGCATGTAAACTATAAGCCTCTATTTCCTTATTTGTAAAATAGGAACAATCCTAACCTCAGAGATGTAAGCTAAAAAGTTATGGTAGCGAAAGAACATCAATATGTTGTGTCATCATGAGAGGACAAACTGGATAGTTTGTGAATTCCAGGATATGGACTATAAGCTTTCCCCATGCCCAAATACCCCAAAACAGGTCCCCACATAGCCCATAGAAATACCTGCTCCTTGCACTGCACCAGGGCCCTCTGGATCTCATTGGGGTTCAATGCATGGGCATGAGGCAGACAGCTTAGGGCTAGCTCCGCAGCTGCCCTCACCATATTGGAGTCTCGTGCCCGTGATGCCCTGTCAGCCAGGGATGCAACCTCGGGAGGCGTCAGGTGCCCATCCCAGCATTCTACCAGTATGGTCAGGGCTGCACTGCCAATCTCCATTGCCTGGCCTTGGGGAAGGAGGAAAAGCAGAGCATGAGCACCACTGGGGAGTGGGAATGGTGTGTCTGTCACCATTCATCACTAACTCCAAAAGGATAAGGCTCGCCTCTCCATCAATTAATCCCCTTCCCACGCCCAAATCAAAACATTGGATTTACCTGTAATCCAGGAAACGTGCGAAGAATAGGTACGTGAGAGCCAGTTGGGAGAAACAAAATTGTGCAGGCCAAGGGCATAAAGCCCAATCTCAAAGGCGCAAAGGTGCAGGTTGCGGTGAGGACCCTGGTGGCCCCCTGAGGAAGATGGATGTGTGAAAATGGAAGTGCTGCTGTTGCCCCCTGCCTTGATCAACACCGTCTTCGCCAGTTCGAAGTAGAAGTGTGCGGCTGCCTCTGACGGCTGATTGGGTACATGGGGGGCATGACTCTCAGGACGGCGGCCCTTGTACCTGAAGGGGCAATGGGGGAGGGATGGGGATTGGGGTTTCTCTGAAATGGGTGTCCAGGTAGGTTGGGAAAGACCAGGGTAAAGACACTGGGGGGACAATATTTGGATTAAACTAGGAATGTGGCTCCGAGGATGAGCCAGATCAAAGATAGGTATTTCTTCCCACTGACCTGCCAACTTCAACTGTCTTCGCCCGGGCCCCTCCACTGGCACTGGCCCGGCGACTGCCACTGGAAGACGAGGAGCCCAGGGAATCTGAGGAAGAGCTGCTAATGCTGTCACTGTCCTGTCCTCTACCCCAAGAGGTGGGGGCCCAGCCCCCTCGAAGTGGCCTCCGGCTTAAGGTAGGGGAGCTATCCGATGTTGTTTCAGGGGCACTGCTGTCAATGCTGGCCATGCCTAACCCCCAAAAAGACAAGTCAGTCTCAGAAACTCCAGAAGTCAGACTTCAGGGATATCCTTCCCACCGCATCATCCCATGGGCTGTCATACCTGTGTGCTTCTTCTTAGGCCGCCCTGGGGAGCCCCAGCCGCGTCCATTGTAGCCTCCACGACTGCCAAGTGCCAAGCGGCTGGGAACCTTCCCTTCTGGCCTTGAGGTCAAAGCTGCCTCAGATGGGAGACTCTCACAGGGAGAATGTGGGGAACTCTCTAGGTGGGAAAAATAGGACATTGGGATTAACCCAGGAAAGGGGATCCCAACATGATTCCATACCATTCATCTCCCTGCCCAGTGCCCCCACCTCACCAGGCACATTCTTCTCTGTGAAGCCCTCAGTGGGGCCTGGCCCAGCCCCTGCCACACTCCCTGGCTGAGCAGACCCTGCAGAGCCTGAGGTCAGTGGTTGCAGGGCCCCTGGGGCAGACGGGCCCCCATGCTTTGAAGGAGACCTCTGGCTGGCTGTGGCTGGGCGGCTAGATGAGTAGAATGAACTCAGGGTCTGTGGCTTATGTGTCTGGCTCTCTCGGTCCAAGAGTTTGTCTAAGATCTGGAGGATAGAGAAGAGGTGACAGGATGCCCTTTATCTCCAGACTCCAATTACTTTCCTATCTCCTGAAAACAGCTTAATACTACCACCTCAGGAAGACTTCCCAGTTGTAACGCTAGGAAAACCTTCTAGAACTGCGATTTCAACCTTTTTCATCTCGTGACACCCATAAACTAATAACTAAAATTTTGCAGTACACCAATAAGTAACTAAAACTTTGCAGTACACCCATAAATAACTAAAATTTTGCAGTATTGTTGGTGTTAGCTTTATCATTTATTTTATTTGACAATCTAAAGGAAAAGACATCAGTGCCCCTGACTAAATAGTCAGGTATTGCAGGTTTTAAAAATTCTTGCAGCACACCAGTTGAAAATAGGGGCTGGCTTAAATATCTTGGTATCCTCTTTAACACTTAGCGCAGGGCTGAGTATACTGATATTCAGTAAGTATTGAAACAAGTGAATGAATGACTGACTGACTTTATGCCCTCTCTTTTCTTCTTCCACACTCCTGCCCAAGCGCTCCTGTAAGAATCATTGGTCTCTCCTATTCTTTATGAGGTGTTCCCAAGATTACCCACTTATCTTCTATGGGCAGAATAACTCTTCTCATTCTACTGGAAACCCAAGACAAATGGTGGAATCTACTCTCTTTGCCTGTCAAATTCCCAGTACCTCAGTCCCTTACCTTTTTGAGCTTGGACTGATCATCCTTGTAAGTGATCATTAGTGCCAATGCCAGGTCACCCTTCTCCCGACGTGTGCCTTCACACAGGAGGGGATGCTCTGCCTCACTCACTGTTGTCTTCATGCCTGTGAGATGGAGGGACTCATAGGAATTGAGAATGACCATAACTCCCAAGACAACAAAGATAAAGAGGCCAGGGTTCCTCAGGCACCAGCATGTGAGGTGAGTTCTGGTCCAACCCACATCCCCTATGCCAGGTCCCCACTGCCTATTACACCCAGCCTAGCTAAGATCTGGTCTGCTTTTCAAGACCTTCATAACTTGGCCCTCTCTACGTTCCCAGCACATCCATCACTTTAGGGAAGTTGGGCTCCTCACTCTCACGAAGACTTGATTGCCCTAATATATTCTGTTCCCCTACTTAGAACTTAACTCATCTTTTTTTTTTTTTTAAATATACTTTATTGATTTTTTACAGAGAGGAAGGGAGAGGGATAGAGAGCCAGAAACATCGATGAGAGAGAAACACCGATCAGCTGCCTCCTGAATACCCCCCACCGGGGGTGTGCCCGCCACCAAGGCACATGCCCCTGACCAGTGTCGAACCTGGGACCCCACAGTCCGCAGGCCGACGCTCTATCCACTGAGCCAAACTGGTCAGGGCTTAACTCATCTTTTAAGCCATGTTCCATATTCTACCCCCTCCCTGAGGCTTTTCCTTAGATTTTTGTTTTACTGCCCTTTTAACACTCAAAACCCAGAGCACACATTTTTACCCTAAATTCTTAACTGTCTTTTAGGCACTACTTGGCTCATACATGTCATTCTGGCTTTCCCCATTACCGTGGAGGCCCTCTGGAACAAGGCCCATGTCTCATGACCTTCAAGGTCTGGGCCAGGCTTAGCTCAGACATGCTCAGGACATTGACATACTCACCCAAGGCAGCAACTGCTGCCTCAAATCCCAGCTCCTCATCCCCAGGCATCTCATTGTTCCAGTTGCGACTTGGGGGCCGGGAACCCGTGGGAGAAACCACTGGATGAAAGTTGGGGTAAGTCAGGCAGACAGAAGTATCATGGGAAAAAATGAAAGGGAGAGAACCCAAGACCCTCATCATTCCAGACCCTGCCAGATGGGTTTTTCCTGAGAGAAAGCTGCCCCTGCCTCAGAGTTCCCCTCTTGCCGTAGAGTCAGACACCGTACCTGGAGCACAGAGAACATCAAAGATGAAACTGGCCAACATGAGAGGCAAGACAGGCCGATAGTCACAGAGTGTCCCCTCCCGAAGCTCCTCTGCCCGGCACCGCATGGTGCTCATCTCACTTGGACCCAAAGGAATCTTCTTGAGCAAAGCAGCCACCTCAGACTCTTGATATGCCAGTTTCACCTGAGGGCACAGGGGGGAGAGCAGACCTCTAACACCTCGATGGAGACCAACATGTAAGGCTCTGAGATTAGCGTGCAAGGCTCAGATAGAACCTCTGACCTCCAAGGCCTTGGTAGAAGCCGGGGGCCGCTGTAGCTCCAAGGCAAACATGCCGACGCGAAAGGCCAAGTTGTGGTGCTCTGGGCGCTCACTTAGCACTGTTAACAGGAAGGCCGCCTTGGTCAGGGTGTTGGTAGCCACCCAGGTCTGACGGCTGGTAGATACCTTGTTCTTCTTGCCCTAAGCAGAGAAGCACAAGGAGGCAGGCAGATGAGTCTGGCTCGCCTTGGTGGAGGGAGGAGGCGGCTCTCACTTGAGGTGGGGCATGGGAGAGAGTTAGGGGTAAGCAGGGAGGGGGAGGGTTGGGAGTCTCTCTCACCTTGGCAGGGGGCGGCTCTACCTTGAGGTCGGGTGGGTTGGCTAGCAGGTCCTGGGCAAGCTCCACGGTGAGGCGGGAGGCCTCACTGCTGTAGCCATGCGCATGCAAGGCCTCAGCACAAGCAAATAATACCTGGAGAGAGGACATGGGCACGAGACAGGTTGAAGCCTCAACTTCCAAGGGCAGGACACCATAATCACTCATGCAGCAAATACCCCATAAGTACTTGTTATATGCTGGGCCCCATGCTGGTCCTGGGTATAACACAGGAACTCAGCCTGGTTACCGAAACAAACACACAAACCTGTGTGAAGCTGGCTACCAGGAAAGGTCAAGGAGATACAGGTAGGTAGGATATCTCATTGGGACTTGGGGTAAAGGGACAGACTCAGAGACTTCCTGGAGGAAGTGATCTCTAAGATCTCTGAGACCTAAACAAGGGACAGGAGCTCCACCAGTGAGGTGAGGGAAGTCCATTCTCTGCAGAAAGGCCAATCTGTGCAAAACCACAGATGCGAGAGAGCATGGCAAGCTACAGGAATGGTTCACATGACTAAAGGACACACTACAGACGAGGCTGGAGAAACATGCAAAGATCAGACCAAGTGAACGCTCATACGTCATGCCAAGGACTTTCATTTTTTAAACTAAGGGCAATGGGAAACCACTGGAGTTTTAAGCAGCATAATAACACAAACATTTCAGGAAAACTAATATGGAATCAGTAAAGAATGGACTATAGGCAGGGAGGCCTACAGGAACCTACTATAGGATTCTAAGTCATGCTATGGTCCTGACATTCACAACTAGAGTCAGATGGCCCCTCTCCCCGCTGTGGCTAAGGCACCCCTCAGAGTCTCCTCACCTCCATGCGGCTCTCCTGTTCCAGTGGCTTCAGTCCAGCAAACAGGTCGTGCTCTTCCCCAGTCCCACCCTCGGCCTTCTCTTCCTCGCCCCCAGCCCCGTCTTGGGCATTCAGATAATATGCCTGGTAGTCATCATCCTCCTCTCCAACTGTAGGGGCTGCCTCTTTGGTTTTGGGGAGCCCACTGCCACTCTCATCTGTGGAAGGGAGGTCGTCCCGGGTACAGATCTCCCCAGGTAGTAGGCCAGGGGGGCCAGCAGAAGCTGTGGGAGCCTCAGGCCCTTCTGAGAAGTACACGCCACCATCTTCTTCATAAGTATCTGGGGGTTCAGGAAGGAAGGCAGAAGGGCCTCGGGAGCCACCAGAGGAAGGGCAGGGTGGTGGGCTTTCAGGGAATCCACCAAAGGTGCTGGCCTCTGCACCTAGGGCCAGGCTACTGTCATCCAGGCTCATCTCAGCCAGATCAGGCTCCAGGGAGCTGTCTTCACTGCTCAGCCGTCGCTTGCTCCCGCCACCTGCTGAGCCCTTGCCCCCACTGCCAGCCCCACCCAGAGCCTTGGCTTTGCCCCCACCTGGACCCATCTTATGCAGAGCCTTATCTCCCCCCTCAGCCGAGAGGCGGCGGGGACCCCTCTGCGATGAGGGGATCCCCTCAGCCAACCCCTTGCGCTTGGCCCCAGGCTCCTTGGGCCGTGCAGCTGGCTCAGCAGGAAGAGGGCGGGGCCGCTCCCGGGGTTCCTCCAGGCCCCCAGATCTGGAGGCACTTGGCCGAGGGGGCAGGGCTCGGGCCCAGCACAGGGCCAGCTTGCGGTCAGTGCCGCTGTAGGTGACACCGGGAAGCGGGTAGGCCTCTTCCCAGTTGAAGTAGCAGGCCTCCACTGCTGGCCGGAAGCCAGGGAAGAGCCGCTCCAGGGTTTTCTTGTGCTGTCCCCGCTTCACATTCTCAATCACCTTCAGCTGCCACTGCCGGAGCTGCGCACACAGTTCCCGGCGGCTGTGCAAACAAAGGGGCAAGGGTGCTGGGGTCTACACTCTGCACTGAGAAGGGATGAAGGGGTTGGGTTGGAGGAGGTATATACCGAGGGAGCATAGGGAAGGACCACAGAAGAACTTCTTAAGCCAGCCCCACCTACAGACATCACTCCAACACCCAGGGATTTTGGAAGGCGGGTGCTATTAGGGGAGGGAAGGAAGAAAGCCTCTCATTAAGAGGATTCATAAGTCGACTAACCCTAATGCCAGCGGTTCTCAACCTGTGGGTCGCAACCCCTTTGGCGGTTGAACGACCCTTTCACAGGGGTCACCTAAGACCATCCTGCATGTCAGATATTTACATTATGATTCATAACAGTAGCAACATGACAGTTATGAAGTAGCAACGAAAATAATTTTATGGTTGGGTCACAACATGAGGAACTGTATTTAAAGGGCCAGAAGGTTGAGAACCACTGCTAATGCTCAGCACCCTCACTTCCCTAGCACTAGAAGAATGTGTACAAGGAGACGGGCTCGGTCTGTCCGGGGCTGGCCCAGTCTCCGGGCTGTGGTAAAGATAAGAGGAGACTCACCGCTGGGGGCTGAGTGCAGGGTCCAGCACAGCCAGTCTCCACAGTGTGACCATCTCATCGCACATGCTGGCACATGCATGGGCTGCCACCTCTGACTGCCCATTGCTACGACCTGTGTGCCCACTGGCGCTGCTGTGTGAGGCTGAGGTGCGCACGCTGTACCACCAACCTGTTATCTGGAAACAAAAAGAGCTCTGAGATGCGCCTAATAGCTTGGAGAAAGAGAAGAGATGAGGTTAAAAGAAGGAGAAAATGAATCATCATGCAACTACCCAGCTCTGGGGAATTACCTGTTCGTAGGTGAGGCACTGGTCAGTGAGGATTTCCAACAAGGGGGCAGCATTGCTGTCCCTCCGTTTGAACATCTCCCGCACGATGCTAAGCAAGTTCCAGACACCCTCTGGCTCCCGACCCCTCAGAGGGCGCAGCAGACATGCCCATTCAGCAGCGGCTGGAGGCTCCGTGGAAGACAGATACATGGAGTTCACATCACTGTGAAAGGAGTAGAGCGGAAAGTGATGACCAGGGAGCTGTTTTCACTGCTCAGCCCTCGCTTGCTCCCGCCACCTGCTGAGCCCTTGCCCCCACTGCCAGCCCCACCCAGCGCCTTGGCTTTGCCCCCACCTGGACCCATCTTATGCAGAGCCTTATCTCCCCCCTCAGCCGAGAGGTGGCAGGGACCCCTCTGCAATGAGGGGATCCCCTCAGCCAACCCCTTGTGCTTGGGACTGAATAAAGCAGATGAAAGTGCAACAGGGCTTTGACATAAAAAGGGCTCTAACCCAAAATACAGAGTACACAGAAGAAAGGATGTCCATGACAAAAATTCTTAATCGCTCTCTGCCTCAGTTTCCCAACCCCTCAAAGGAAGAAAAATAACTTCTGCTCTACCTAGCTAAAAACAGACCACTTTATGACTATATAAATCTATCATCATCCATTGATTCATCAGTGACATGTGTGTGCCAGGCACTGTACTGGTGCAGGGAATAAAAGATGGGAGGTGCAAGAATAAACAGAACAAAGGATCTGTCAACAGCCTGAAGAATGCTTCCCTTCTACCAGACACAGAAATGGAAAAACCCAATTTACCTGAAGACCACAGGGGAGGGGCCACAGAACTTGTGCAATGTCTTCTTGATGTTGTCAGTAAGTGTCGATTCATCCAAATACCAAGTACTCTGGTCAGAGGCCGAGGGCCCTGCTGTGGGGTCTGGGGGTGATAGGCAGTCAGTCACCTAGAGATAGGCGCCTGGATTTGCCTGACAACAGCAAGCCTTTAGTAAGTGGCGCTCTGCACTACCAGCTTTCTATCTTCCTGCTGTCCTTTCTTCTCACCACACTCACCTGGGGCTCCACACACTGTATTGATGGCAGTTGACTGGGAGGAGAGGAGTTCATCCAGGAGACGCTGGGCGGTGGGGAGGATCTGGGGGAAGGAACGCAGGCCTAGGTGACCCAAGGAGGCCTGGGCCTCATAGGAGGGCTAGTCATGCAGTGCTGGAGCCGGCTGGAGGAGGGTGTGCCAACCTCACTCACCTGCTGAGGGAGCTCACTGATGAGGTACTGAGCAAACTTCTGCAGCTGGTCCCTCTGTAGCCGAGACAGGGACTCTGAGACTGGGGCCCGCAGGCAGACTGCAGAAGCCTGGAGGGGACAGACAGAGAAACAGAACAACCTGAGAAAAGGCTTGCTGATGCTGGAATTAGAGCTAGAGAGGCAGAGTAGGGGAGGCAAGGGGGCTCACATGGTGGCCAGGCATGCAGCAGAGAAAGGGGGGATGGAGCGTAGGATAGGGCCAGGATAAACTGGGAGGGCCTCACATTGTGGATTCGGAAGAGGCAGAGTGCCACGACATGGGTGCACCATTTGGCCCCAGCGCCACAGGTGCAGCTGCAGGAAGTGACCCGGCAGCGGTCAAACATCACAGCCACGTTGTAGGCCCCTTTGGGAGGGACCATCTGAGGTGGCACCACCGTAGCACTCAGGTGGAACCCTGAGGAGAAACATGGGTACGGTCAGGAAGAGCCATCAAGACATATCTTTGCCCTCAACTCTAGTCCTGCCGTTATTCAGACAACCTGCTCCAGCTTCTTGCAGTATGCCTTAATTCACAACAGAGGGATGGGAGGAGCAGGGAGTGCCGCAGGGCATGATGGGACTCTTACCTATCTGCAGTGGGTCCTTCACGGCCCTCATGCGGAACAGCTGGTCCCCTCGCTGGAACTCATCTGCACTGCCATTGGCCAGGCATGAATACAGCCTGGGAGTGAAGAGGACATAGCACAACTCAGCAAATAACCTCTACAGACCCTGTCAGAGACCACAATGCCCTGGGCCCTCTCCCCGCAGTATCACTCCCTCTTGGGAAAAATCCCAGGCACTCCTCCTCCCCTTGTCTTCTAACTACAGCTCCAAATACAGTATCTCCTTTGTTCGGTGGAAAGCCCAGAACACTGTGAAATATCAGGACCCCACTCCCACCACCCGTCCTGTAGGCTCACCGAATATCCTCTTCATTCTCAGGGAAGCTCCAAAACGCAATCCGGAGCTGCAGCTGCTCAGGCACCGGGGGGTAAACTTTCTCCACCACTTCAAATGGGATATGAAATGCCACCTGCTTTGCTGACAGCTCCACCAATGGGATCACCAGTCCATCTTTGGTAACCAAGGTTGAGGTGAGGGGAAATAAAGAGCCATGATCATTTGGTACCAATGCCAGTGCCACATCGTGGGCCCGACCTTCACTATGAAGGACAGGGGAGAGCGGGATGAAAACCAAAGGGCCCTCCCGTCAGGATACACTGACGCTTACAACTGCACCTGGGGAAGGGGAGCTACACAACCCAGCCCACAGCCTGCTACCTAAGGTCTAGACCAGTGGTTCTCAACCTTCTGGCCCTTTAAATACAGTTCCTCATGTTGTGACCCAACCATAAAATTTTCGTTGCTACTTCGTAACTGTAATGTTGCTACTGTTATGAATCGTAATGTAAATATCTGATATGCAGGATGGTCTTAGGCGACCCCTGTGAAAGGGTCATTCGACCGCCAAAGGGGTCGCGACCCACAGGTTGAGAATCGCTGGTCTAGACAGAAGATACAAGGGATATCCCAGAAATTCCTGGTCAAACAGGTGTGTTTCAGGATGCTAGCAAGTAACACCTTTCACAAGCTTCCGCATTTAATTTCCCATATACAATTTCCCACATACTTAGCCCTTTATTCGTATTACATTGTTAAGGTCTCTCCTCTGACATGCTTTTCTCTAACTGCTTTTGTACTACCCCTTTTTCTCTAGATGACTCCAGGCCTCCTCTATTTAAGGAGGGAAGACAGACCAGAGCCCAAACAGAGGGGCCTTAAGAAGCCAGAGAGGCTGCACTTCTTTGGGGCACCAGAACCCTGACTTCCCACAATGGAAGCCCTGGGGCAGAGGGAGAGCAAGCAGGCTCTCCCACGGAACTGGAATCACCTGGAGGCGGGTGGAGTTACCACTGCAAATTTTCCCATCATTTCAATCAAACAGCAGTGGAATACAACAGACTGCATATCTCACCAAATTGTTAGTCAGATTAGAAATAAGATCAGAAATCATGGAGCTGAAAGGAACTTTTTTAAAAAAAACAACAACACATGCCCAAGCCGTTCTGGCTTAGTGAATAGAGCACCGGCCTGAGGACTGAAGGGTCGTGGGTTCTATTCCGGTCAAGGGCACATGCCTGGGTTGGGGGCTTGGTCCCCAGTGGGGGGCATGCAAGAGGCAGCCAATCAATGATTCTCTCTCATCATTGATGTTTCTATCTCTCTCTTCCTCTCCCTTCCTCTTTGAAATCAAAAAGCAAACAAACAAAAAAACCCCATGTTAATCTCCTTATTTTGCAAATGAGCAGCTGGGGGTAGCCTGGGACACAGGAGGGTGGGGGAATGACATGATGTCCTAGATTTTAACCTGTTCAAGATACCAGTATGTTAAAAACTTTCCCCACCAGGACTTCCTACTTTTTCAGAGCGAGGGAGCTCCAAGTCTCCAGGCCACCCACACGTGCAAGCGGGAAAGAGGCAGAGAAGCCATGTAAGGCCCAAAGCGATGCTATGACCTGAGTGTACACGTGTGTGCGTGTGTGTGCGCACACAGAGCACATGCTCTCTCGCCCACTGACGTGGAATACCGTCACTCCTACAAAGTAACACAGGGACACGTCTCCCTGTCCCAAGGGGGTGCAGAAATCTCTGTGGGGCGGTTGGAAAACAGGACTCCTGCGGTAGCCAGAGCAGAAGCACAAGCCAAACCCCTCAACTTCCAGGAGGCCCAGGACACAAACTGTGCCACGGGAACGGCCGAGAAAGGATGTGGCGAGTCCTGAGCTGCTTTTACCGTCACTCTTCTCTCCAGCCCCTTTAAGGCAAAATTCTTCCCAGCACAACCAGTTCGCTCACCGCAAGACCCCAGGAAGAAAGCTCGGTGAAAAGCAGGAGGAGTGCTCGCAAGGCGACTCGGGAGCCAATGACCCGCCACCTCCCCCAGGGCCCGGGTGACGGGAATCTAAGGCTCTGATGCAGGTCCCGGGCTTGGCTGGTGACAGATGTTCAATGTGGCCGGGACCAAGCGTCCGATCGAAACCTGTGCAACTACGGCATCGCCTCGCGCGGACCAGTCCAGCTCCACTTTCTTCCGAGCGTCACCCCTTCTCGGTGCCGCGGGGCTCAGAGATCGCCACCCTCAACAAGAGGCCGACGCACTTTGCAGCGGGGTGACCTCCAATGGCCACGTCCTCACAGTCCACCCCTCGCCACGCTCCCCGTGGGCTGAGCTGGGTGAGTATCCCCAAGTCCCGGAGGACCCTGCCCACCTCTGAGGCCAACGAACCACAAGAGATCTACTTCCTGTCGCTCATAATCCTATCCACCGCAGGGTTTCCCAGCCATCACCCCAAATCACTCTCACACACACACACACGGACACACGGACACGCCAGCTGGTGTGAAGAAGCCACCCCAGAAAGAGCAGGGAAGCGAGTCCTGAAGTGCGTTCAGCGCTCGGAGCAGCGCGGTCCGGGACAGCTCCCGGGCGGGGACAGCTCCCGCCGGGCCCCGAGGCCGGCCCGCGCCCCTCCCCCGCGCTCCCTCACCTCGCGTTCGGGTACCGCCGCTGCCACCTCCGCCGCCGCCGCCGGTGGGGGAATTCGGCCCCGCCGACTGTTTGCGCCATCCCCGCCAGTTCTGGCAGAGGCTCTCGGCCTCGGAGATGAAGGAGCAGAGCGAATCCTCCTCAAAGCGGTCCGAATCCTCGAACGAGAAGCGCTCTCCGTCCTCCCACTCCGCGAACATCAGCTCCATGGGGCCCGCACCCCCCGGGGCCGGGTCCCCCCCCGCCGATCCGGGGCCTGGGCCTCCGGCCGGGGACTGAGGGGAGGCCCCGGGCCTGAGGGGCGAGCCGGGGCTGGGGGTGGCCGGGGCGCTCAGGGCGGCCGTGCCGGGCGAGGATCTCAGGCCTGGGGGGGATACGGAACCGGGCCTCGCCCAACTGCGAGGTGCGAACGGGGATCGCGGCCAGCCTCCGAGACTCAGGGCCCGGACGAAGCGCTCGGCAGCCCGGGCCTCTCGGTGGCTGCGGCACCGCCTCCCCCATCAGCTGATCTGAACTTCCGGCCGCGCCGGCCACCACCACTTCCGCCCTCGCGCGCCCGTGGACCGGACCGAGCACGGGCAGATGTTGGGGCCCTGTGTGTTTAATTGCTGCATTTCCTGCTTTTATCCTGAAACCCACCCACAGATACAACAAAAGGAAGCCAACCCCCACAGGTAAACAAAACGACTACAGATCCCAGCAATAACTCGGCGTCCATCATGTCCCCAAGGCATAAGCATTCGCCAAGCACGCCGGGAATCGTAGGCTGTCAAACAGCACAGCACCATTGGGTAGTTATTGTCCTAACTCCGGATAGGGCCCTGGGGCCGCTTCGCCTTCTGGGAATTGTAGTCCAGAAGCCTGTATTCCAAAAGACTTTATAGGCTCTAAGAAGCACCAGGAAAAGAAGGCGTTAGATTTCAGGAAGTGGTTGTACTTTTTGTCAGTGGACCGTTGAGTCTAGGGGTTCTTAACCTTTTTGTGTGCCCCGGACCCTTTAGCAACCTGGTGAAGCCCCTGAACCCTTCTCAGATTGTTTATAAATGCACAAAAGTACAAGAATTATAAAGGAAATCAATTGTTGAAATACAATTATCAAAATACTAATAAAATTTGTAACACAGTAATATTTATTTGCACATTAAATAAGATCCAGCAGCTACCATAATTTTGAAGCTAGTGATGAGCATGATACTGAGGTATCTGTAACAAACTATAATATGATTTGAAAATATTGATTTCGTGTGGCATTGCTAATGACATTGTGGTTTATTTCCAACTCTCTTAACTGAAATGCTGTATCAGTTGTGATTAAAGATAAAATTGTTTTCCTGTCCATGTTCACAGAAATCTTATTGGGCATCTATTGATTCTAGGTTAAGAACTCCTAAGTCTAGTCCAGTAGTTGGCAAACTTGCGGCTCGCGAGCCACATGCGGCTCTTTGGCTCCTTGAGTGTGGCTCTTCCACAAAATACCAACTTCTGCGCATGGGCCACAAAGATTCAATCGCACTGTACATGCGCGCCTGCAAGTGGTATTTTGTGGAAGAGCCACACTCAAGGGGCCAAAAAATCGCATGTGGTTCACGAACCGCAGTTTGCCGACCACGGGTCTAGTCTAAAGTGCCTAACCACTGAACTTCTTCCTATTGCTGAAAGCCTCCGCTGGCAGAACCAGACAATTGCTAGGTGCTCTACCTATCTGGTATGAGAACTATAGGAAGAGGTAGCTCTGGGGGAACAGGGAGGCAAGCAAGACTCCTTTATCATAATAATTACCCCACTGGAGCTTTAAAAACCCCACTGATCCTTTTGTCCATGTAATAATGCTGGAAGGTACAAAGAAAAGGTTACCTCAGTTATGGACAGAAAGGGCAGAGTACACATAAAATGCTATACAGTTGTTTCTAATATCGGGGGTGGGGTGTCACAAAGATGCTTTCAGCAACTAGGTAACTTAATGAGACGTAGACAGGTGACACACAAAAGTACCAATTAAGTCACAGTTTCACCATTTGGAGGAGTCTAGTGGACAGGTCCCTAGAAAATGGAGATGAACGATAATTGATTATTGCCATGTGGTAATGAGAAACTAGGGTTACCAGATCTTTTCTTTTTTTAAAGAAAAGCTAAAAAATTTACTTCTATGACATTAAATTTTTATATATTTTTAAAGAATGGGGAGAAGAGAGAAACATCAGTGGGACAAGGTAACATCCATCGCTGCCTCCTGCACCCCTTACTGGGGATGGAGCCCACAGCCCCTGCTTGTGCCCTGACCAGGAACCTTTTGGTGCACAGGACGACACCCAACCAACTAAGCCACACCAGCCATGGCACATTTTTCCTATTTTAAAATGTGATCAGCTAGCCCTAACTGGTTTGGCTCAGTGGATAGAGTGTCGGCCTGTGGAATGAAGGGTCCCAGGTTCAATTCCGGTCGGTGGCATGTGCCTTGGTTGCGGGCACATCCCCAGTAGGGGGTGTGCAGGAGGCAGCTGATTGATGTTTCTCTCTCATCAATGTTTCTTTCTATCCTTCTCCCTTCCTCTCTGTAAAAAATCAATAAAAAAGATATTTTTAAAAATTTGATCAGCTAATATAAAAACAAATGTTTAACTATGTGGACCAAATCAAATACAGTACCTTGGGTCACTAGTTTGTGAAGTTCTGATATCCTGGGAATACCTTGCAGGGGCTATGCACAAAGTAGGTAGGCACTAAATATTTACAGATGATGGCAAAAAACTGTATTGTAGGCAGACTTCAACACCCTTACTGCATCCACAGGCAAGGGCACTAAATGGTGTAAAGGAATTCAAATGCAGGATAAGACAAAGGTTTTTGTCCTGTTCCTGAGGCAAATCAGAGAGCAAAGAACTTCCAGAGGGGAGGATACAGGATTCAAGTATGGAGGGAGTAGCTAATCCGTAACAAAGGCCAAGTTCTCTTCAGAGGAGTTTATTTCAAGATAAAGCATAACTTCCACCCAGACATTAATTCCAAAGGGTGAAAAAAGTGTTTCGCCACCTTTTACCCTTCAAATAGAGCATGGCAGTGCAGATGTCTCTAAAACGCCTCTGTATATTCTCAGAAGCTACAGTCCAGTCATTGAAAATGCTTCTCCATTTTCAGCTGAGATGTGATTTGTTAGGAAACCTCTGTAACAACATATTCACTTTCTGGGGGGGTAAATTCCCATACTCTCCCTGGACTGATCTCATCTTTCGGGCTGCCTGAAAACACAAAACAAAAACAGAAATGACAGCTCTCAAGTCTGTTCTGACCTTGGACAATGGTTCTCACAAAGCCCCAAAACACATGAAGATATTAACCACCCTGGAGAGCTGTGTCATCTTCCCAGTCCCCTTTCAACAAAAGGGACATGGGACCGACAAATGACGGCAGGGTCTGAAGCTACCATGCCAGCTAGCAACTAAGCCTAGGCTGGAAACCAAGCCATCTGCCCACCATCTTTCATTCTATTTCAGAGAATGTCTATTTGAGCAGCAATTTAAATTTTGCAAATTGGTTTCCCATTCATTCCTTCATTGGACACTCACAAAAATCTGTGCGTATTAACATTTAACTTCTTTTAACGTCTGGTAAAGCTCAAGATGGCAATGCCTTCAAAACCTGACCTTCCCCACTTTGGCGCGGGTGAAATTTCTCCCAAACCTTTCCTCGCCTTTTAGAATGAGAGGGGCTTTCTTACCACCTAGCAAGAGGCAGTTGCATCTCCCGCTCCCCAACCCCCGCCCCGCCCCCCCCCCCCCGCCCCCCGCCATTATCCTCTAGAGAGGCCACTCCAGGAGCCTTCTGTCACCTCGGCCTTCGAAGCACAATCGAAGAAGTCCTGGATCTCTTTCCTGCACGCTTCGTCGCGGAACTCATTCTGCTTCCAGCAAGCCATCATCACCGACATCTCTGTGATACAGGTCGCCTCTGCAGGGTCACAGCGGAGGGGGAGCGGGGAGACTCAGTCCTAAGGAGACCCTTACCTTCCAGCCCTCCCACCCAGCCGCCCCCCGCACCCCTCGGCCTCCGCTCTGGAGCCTCCGTGGCTGCGGTTGCTCACCGCCCCTGTTCCGGCGCCGCTCCCCGATACGGTTAGCTAGGATGAGGGGCTTGCTGGGCTTCAGGACGGGCTTCCGCGGGTTTCCCAGCCGGGCTAGGCGACCCCGCAGGCTGGGAGTCGCCATTGTGCGCCAGGCTCCCGGCAGGCTCTGCGGCGCCGTGCGTGACCCTGCGTGACCCCTACGCGGTCGACGAGCTCGGCGCACGGCGGGCGGAAAGCTGGGCGGCCTGTTTGGGTGCCCCTCTGTGTTTTCTCGGCGGGTCGTCCGGTTCCGAGCTGGGACACCGGCGGGCCGGGCCAGGGTGCAGGTCAGGGGGTTTGGGCGCCTACGCTAACCGGGGTCACGCCTTCCCAGTTCCTGGCAGCGCTGGGCCAGGATCCCAGGGAAGGGCCTCGTCAATGAGCTCATTGACCGCGCCTGCCGGCTGCATTAGCGGTGGGCACAGGCGGGGCCGGAGGAGGGAAGCGTACCGGAATACGAGGCTTGGAGATGGTCATTTGGGAAAGGTTTTTGCTGTTTTGTAAGCCTTCGATAACTCTTGGGTTTTGACTATCTTTAGAACCACCTCCAAAGCCGCACAGAGAAATCCGGCTCATTTACTTATAAACAGGTGCTCTACTTAAGATATATCATTTGCTCATTTGTAATCTCATTGGGTGGGGTGACGTTTAAGCACTTTGGCATTCACGGCCTTCTGTAATCCTCTTGCCGACCTTATGAAGATACTTGGTAGTATCATACCTGTTTTTTTAAAAATGTCTTTATTGATTCAAACAGGAAGGGAGAGGGATAGGAACATCAAGGATGAGAATCATTGATTGGCTGCCTCCCAAACGCCCCCCATTGGGGATGGAGCCGCAACCCCGGCATGTGCCCTTGACCGGAATGGAACCTGGACCCTCCAGTCTAAACCAGTTAGGGTCTATCAGTCCTGTTTATAGACTCGTCCCTTCGGTTGTGACGTCTAGCTTCATCAAACTTGGTTCTAAGGGACTTAATTGTTTACAAAACATTCCAAAGATGTGCCATGGATTCTCAAGGAATTTACGAATTAGCCCCCCAAAATATTTCTGGTAATGGAAGCATAATTTGAACAATCTTGTAGTTCACAAGGTGACTACAGGGTGTCCCCAAAATATATACACACTTTAATAGCTGATAGCTCAATTTTGAAAATGAAATGTATTTTAATAAACATTGCCTTTATAATTATTCAAAGTGTGTGTAAATTTGGCTGTGTAAATTTAGTGGCTACAATAGTTTAACACAGATGTTTGTAATCTTTCCATTTATCTCTGCATGAATGGTTCTTTTTCCTGTTGAGTCTCAGTTCATGTCAGAGAGGCCTTGCCTTCCTTGACTTCTCACACCCCCATCACCACAACCTGTTTTATTTTCTTCATAGCTCCTATCACAGTCTGAATTACTTTGTTCATTTATTGCTTGTTTACCCCCTTACTACCAACACCCATTTGAAATGTAAGCACCATGAGAGAAGGGACCTTGTCTACTTTGTTCATTGCTGAATCCTCAGTGCCTAGTGTCAATAAATACCTGTTAAATGAATAAATGTTTGAAATATCCAACTTTATCTTGCTCACCACAGAACTATAACCAAGCAGAAGACACTGTTTAAAAATAAGCCATTTATTATACAAAAGGAAACCTGAGGTAACAGAAAATAGCAATACTTGTAGTAATAAAAGTATCAGCCCCATGCTTCATCCCCTCCAGCAGCATAAATAAAACTGATTCCTATTAGAAACGTCTACCGCTAATAACCCCAAGCCTGCTGCTGTATATAGAGCAGGCTGTGCCCCAAACCAGAGAAAATTCACATTGCTTGCTTTCTCCATAGGGAAAGTGAAGCCTTTAGTTGATAAGTGCCATGTGGCTATTCCTGGTTCTGCTTTCCCTTATGGAAATGTAGCACCTGGTTTACTCTGCTCTTTTGTGAATATTTTTTATGGCAATAGGAATAAAGGAAAAAAGTCTGTAAGTACTGACCACAAAGCAGGCATGAGTCTCCAGCCACAATAATTCATAAACAACTAGCCCACTTTGTACATAAAAGTGCTATAGGAGTGCCAATGTGAACTGTTGTGAACAGACAGGAAAGGTAAGGATGATTCTACATCTCATGTAACTACGATCACTTACTCTTTTTACTGCCCATAATGAAATTTAAGTCCTAATTTTAGTTTGTACTTGGGTACTAGTATTTTGTTTTGTTTTTCATGTACAATAAGTGCCAACTAGTTGGAACAATTATTTTTGAATTTTAATGAAGTACCAGACAAGAAAGGCAGTTAATTTCTACCTAGTGATCTGATGTGGTCCTTGGAGCCACACTACAGGGTGCATTGCCTTTATTGAACAGGCTCTCAGTATTGTCTGACCATGTGCCTAGCAAAAAGCCATTGATTCAATTACGGGCTGCAGAAAGATATGGTTACATAGTCATTTTATAGCACTCAATTTCTAAACTATGGGGAGAGATTAGGAAAATAACAATGATTATTTAACAGCAGGAAAATCAAAATTTCAATATGTGTGCACAGAGAATTCACATAAGCATGAAAGCCAATGATTTATTTTTAAAGAGACATCTAATTGGGTGAAGCCAATTCTATGGAGCTTGGATATGAACAATAAGTATGTACTAAGTAGGTTATAGGTTTCTTATACAGTTGTCTAGGGAAAAACCCTAGATCACTTTTCTGAATAGTGGCCCATTGTGGAAAAACAATAATATATACTGTAATTTCTTTAATGTCATCAGTTATGCTGGTCATCAAAAGATACTTTTTTATTGGCCATATATAATAAAATATACTGGATAATTCTCGAAGATTAAACTTTTTTTAAACGTATGTATTGATGAGAGAGAAATTTGTTATTTCACTTTTTTTTGGTCTCATTAGAGTAGTTTTTATTTTGTTTTTTATTACCCCCTCCAACCTGCCCCTATAAGTCAACATTTGTATTTGAACAAATTGCAAGCTTAGAAATCAGTCCTGAATTTGACTTCAGTTGTGGATCCCTACTGTATCAAATTTTAACATAAGTATCTTTAAAAATTTCTTTACAATTTATTGATTTTGGAGAGAAAGGGAGAGGGAGAGAGAGGAAGGAAAGAGAGAAACATTGATTTGTTGTTCCATTTATTTATGCATTCACTGATTGGTTCTTATATGTGCCCTGACCGGGGATTGAACCCACACCTTGGTGTATTGGGACGATGCTCTAACCAACTGAGCTACCCAGCCAGGCTAACATAAGTATACTTGAAGATCTAGCTTTACCTCTTTTTCTTTTCTGCAAAAGAGCAAAAAGGTTAAGCAAACTTTCCAAGCTATTACGGATGGTATTTTTTTTATTAAAGAATAGAATGAAAAAAGAAGCACTCTGACAGTGAAATCCAGCCTAAATAATAGCATTCCTTAGCCACATCCTTAGATGTTACAATATTAAGTGTAGGACCTTCGTTGTTGAGGCATCTACATATATTTGTATTATTAACTCTGATAGTAAAAAAATTTATACATACATTCATAATAATTTACCACCTGATATATTGATAAGCTATGGAACTTCTCTGGTGATAATTCATTAATACAACTTTACAACCAGGGTAGCTCTAAGGGCCAAGATATTCTTCCCTGTTTCTCTGCTCCAGAAAAAGCTAACGACCTCTCTGCCCATTAAGCTATCTATTCAGATCATAGCAATAGAAAGGTTTGGCTATACCCCCAACTGGACTCACAGCTTTTTTGTTGTTATTTTGTTTGGTTAATCCTCTCGCAAGGATATTTTTCCACTGATTTCTAGAGAGAGTAGAAGGGAGGGGGAGAGACAGAGTCAGAGAGAAACATCGATGTGAGAGAGAAACATCGATTGGTTGCCTCCTGCACATGCCCGACCAGGGCCAGGGATCAAGCCTACAACCAAAGTACCTGCCCTTGACCAGAATCGAACCTGGGACCCTTCAGTCTGTGGGCTGATGCTCTATCCACTGAGCCAAACTAGCTAGAGCTTGACTAACAGCTTTTAAAAAAAAAAAAAATATATATATATATATATATATATATATATATATATTTTTTTTTACAGAAAGGAAGGGAGAGGGATAGAGAGTTAGAAACATCGATCAGCTGTCTCCTGCACAACCCCCACTGGGGACGTGCCCACAACCAGAATCAAACCTGGGACCCCTCAGTCGGCAGGCTGACGCTCCATCTACTGAGCCAAACTGGTTAGGGCTTAACTAACAGCTTTTTATTTAGCCAGCCACTTGTGGTGACTTACATCTCTTGCCTCACCTCTCATCTCCTTAGACTTGGGTGGGCTCCATCAAAATGTGGTCTCAGAAATACTATAAAGTTGTATAAAAGAATATCAGCAATAGAATGAGTGAAGCTAGAATATTCATCCCACTTAAGATGAAAAGTGCTACAGAATATAAACTATACTGCTGGGCTGTTTTTTCCACAGTTTTCATGACTGGGGGAAATGGGACTTTTGTAATATATAAAAATAAAAGAGAGGAAAGACTTCATTAAACAGAAAAAAACAAATACATATAAAATTCTTCACTTTGATTCACACTGGCCTATTTTAACATTTCAAAATTTTATATATACTAGAGGCCTAGTGCATGACATTTGTGCACTGGAGAGGGAGGGGGTCCCTTCAGCCTGGACTGTGATTCACAGTCCGGGAGCCCTCGGGGGATGTCCAACTGACGACTTAGGCTCGCTCCCCAAAACCGTAGTCTGACATCCTTAGCACTGCATCAGCCCAGTTTGTGGCTGAGCAGCACTCCCCCTGTGGATAGCTCATGCATTGGGCATCTGCCCCCTGGTGGTCAGTGTGCATCATAGAAACTGGTTGTTCTGCCATTGGGCCAATTTGCATATTACCCCTTTATTATATAGGAAATATATATATATGTATATATATTATATATGTGTGTATATATATATGTATGTATATATATATATATGTATATATATATAAAGTTAAAACTGTCAAATCTATAGCCAATTTAATGCAGAGAAGAATGAATGTGGGAATGGTGGCAAGGCTGCTATACCTTCATCAGAAATTGTGGAAAACTAGGAAAGGAAAAAAATTTTAAAATAAAAAGACTAACATGAAATTCAAGGTAAATGATAAAAAAAATACAACTCCAGAGAACTAGAATACAACCCACAAGGAGTTTTGCTTCACCACCAACATAATAGTTCATAAAGCAGAATATCTGGAAAAGAGGTTGGAAAGGTACTAAATAATAAGGGGTTTGAGGAATAGCACATGAGAAATCTTACCTCATTTGTAGCCAAGTACTAAGGTGTTCTTCCAGTCATAAATGAGAGGATGAAAAGGCTAGAGAAATAAGCAGTTCTTTAAAAATTCTGTTGGATCTGCACCTTGAATCAAATGGGTGTTTCAGGCTTCTCTTTTCCACTAAACTAAGAACTGGATGCCTTCATCTCTCCTTGAGGAGAAGCCCTATTACCACAGTCTGAGACCCTGGCTATACATCATTAGGATAAAATATCAGTAGATACAACTAGAATCCCTTAAGTTCAGGATAAGACAGTGTTCATTAAGGGTTTGTGCAGCATGTCCTGTGGTAGAATGACTTCCATCTCCTTAGACCTACCAAGTTCAAAGCTCTCGCAGGGTAATTAGAGATTTTGGTTCCTTTTCAGGAAGATCTCATGTAGGTAATCCCAAAATTTCCTCTCTTGTGTCTCATTGTTGTGGATCATGGCAGTGAGAGCTTCCCCCTGGTCCAGACCTTGCCAATAGTCTTGCAGCCACATCTCCTTCCAGCTGAAATATCAAAATGAGGGTTGGATTATGGAACCTCAGCACAGCTATGGAGTCAACAAAACCTTAAGCAGATACAGTGGTCTCTGTCTAGCACAGGGCTCTGCTCCAAAGGAAGGAATGTGAAGTAAATCCAGTACTAGTTCAGGTGACAGGTGGTAAGCCACAAACATGATTATGTCACAGCCCAATCAATGAGCCAAACTTCCTAACTTTCCTGCTCCTGGTTCCCAATGTGGAGGGAGTTCAAAAAGGCAAGCAAGGCGGGGCCAGATTAGGAAAGCAGCTGTTACGTATTTAGATGGTTACCTTTCAAGTTGCACCTTTATCTCAATAATCAAAATGAAGGTGCAGCAGCATTCAGGACCCAGATTAAGAGATATCCTGAATTTATTAAGTGTTTACATTGTTTTACACTTTTCCTCTAGTAAATCATATCATGTTCAGCATAAACTAGATACAAATTACTTTTGGTGGAGGACATCATTTCCAGGACCAAACTGTGCCAGTAGCACATATAAACAACCCTCTGCTGCCATCCACTGTCAAAGTCGGTCTCTGCAGGCCAATCCAGCAACCTCTCTTTCTCAAGTTTAATCATCTTTTACTGCTTCTTTCCCAACAGGCGTGGTTTGCTGCAAGAGGATTCAGTATTTTCCCACTCCACCTCCCATGCTGACCTTGTTCCCAATGCTGACACAGTCTACCATCTACCACAGTAGCCTCCTTACTTCCCTTCTAATCCACACTGCCCACCATTGATAATTATTATCTTTTTAAAGAATTCCCTCTAAAAAAAAGAAGAAGAAAAAAGAATTCCCTCTGTTCTGTCTAGGGTGAATATAAAATTCTGTCTAGGGTGAATCATCCAAATCAGGATACCTTTAAGAGTGAAAGGAGGTGTTATTAATAATTACACCAGGTTAACAGGTGTGAACTTGGGCTATTACAAACTTCCCTCAAGATACTCATCTTTGTATCCCTCATCCCCACCCACACCATAGATACAAAAGGTGTTCAATAAATAGCTGAACTGATTTTCAGGACCGCCCAATTTCTGAGCCTGGTATTCAGGCTACGAGTATCCTGGCCCCCCTTTATCTGCCCACCTGTCTCTCCCTCATCACTTCTCTGAACAGGTCCTCTGCTCGGGTTGAAACTTTTTTGAGTTACTATTGCAAACGTTGTCCCCATCAGCTGATTTTCATATGTTATTGCCTTGGATTATAGTTTACACCTTTACTGAGCTTTCTCCGTTTGTCTTATATCCCCAGCTAGACCTCTGACACCTTAAATGCAGAGTGAGCCCCTCTCATTATTTCTTTATACAACAGCCCCTCGGCACCTCGTGCTAACTCACTGTCCACAGTAAGCAAATAATCTGACTTGATGGCTGCAGGGGACCCCAGCTACCTTACCTGTCACTCTCAGGAATCTCGTCCACACTGCCAAAGCCAGGTGTTGGCACTGGGCAGTCCATGTGTGAGGGCTGGGCAATGTGAGGCTCAGGGACAGGGGTGTCTCCGGGGGCGGCTTCGTGGGCTTTCTCCGCCTCCAGCCTCGCCAGCTCATGATCACAAACGAAACACTCGAAGCCATTGAGATAGTTGGGCAATAAAGGGTCATTCACTCCCCACTCCCGATGCTTCAGACTATCCAGGAGGAACTGGTTGGTGATGCCCCCGGGTTGTTTGTATGCCAGGTATTTCATATATTCTTCATCGTTCTTGTCCAGGAAGTCAATAAACTCTGCCAGCTTCTGCGGTGACTCAAAGTCATCGATGAGGACGATGGAGTGATTGTTGGGCATCCAGTCCCTCACCGAGGGGGAGCCGCGATACACAGGCACCGCACCGAGGTGCATGGGGCGCCACAGCTTTTCTGTCATGTAGTCGTCACAGATAGCATTCTCGAGAGCCAGATGGAACTTATAGCGGGACAAGAAGGCCAGGAGCTCTGGGTCCTCGGTGGTGGCCGTGGCTGTGTCCTGTAACCGCGGGGTGGGCAGCTCCCGATTCTGCAGGCATTTCCCGTACGAGTCCACCTGGGCGGGCAGAGTACAGGTCAAGTGGGTACGGGAGGTCGGCAGGTCGGCCTGGACAGGGGTCCTGGCCTGGCCCGGCGCCTCCCCCACCCCCCCCCCCCCCACCCCCGCCCCCGCTCCCGCTCGCACCCACCGGGATGTAGCGCATGAGCTCGCGCACGTAGCGGTCCCGGTCCGCAGGCACGTCACAGTGCGACTGCAGATACAGCAGCGGCGCGTAGCCGCGGCGGCGCCACTCCGCACGCTCCCGGAGGGGAGGCGCCGCGCGGCGCAGGTAGGCGGCCCCGGGCAGCCACTGCAGCGGCAGCGGGTAGTCCGAGTGGCGGCTGAAGGTGGCGGTCAGATTAAAGAGGCGGATGCCCGGACCGTGGCTCAGCAGGAAGTTGTTGAGGGGCGACTCCTCGTGCAGCAGCGCCCAACTCTGGTGCGCCAGACGGGGCAGCGGCGCCTCCGACGCGCGGAAGTCGGTGCCGTAGAAGAGCAGCGCGCGCGTGCGCGAGAGCCCCCGCACCCGGCGGTCCCGGGACGCCACGCACGCGCCGCGCGCGCACTCGATGCGCTCCGAGTCGCCCGGGAAGTGGGGGAACAGCCCTGGACTCCACCACAGCAGCACCGGCAGGTCCCCTGCGTCCTTTCTCCCCGGCCACCGGGTCTCCGGACTGCGCGCCACCCCCACTGCGCCCAGCGCCGACGGCGTCCGGAAAACCGCTCCATCCCACGGCTCCGCCCACTCCGCCTCCCCACCGGGCTCCCTTTCTGTCCCGGGCCCCGGGCCGCTGGCCGCACAGACAGTAAGCACAGCCAGGGCGGCAAGCACCACCCGGGTGCGGCCGGCCGCCATGTCCACTCTGGCAGCCAGCCCCCTAGGACAGCACCGGACCCCGCCCCGCGCCGAGTCGTACCGGGAACTGGGCTCTACGCGGCGGGGGCCCGTGGCGCATGCGCAGCTCCTCCCAGCCGTCCGTTTAGCAGGAAGGACTGGAGGGCAAGTGATACGTCGCCGGTAAAAATGAGGCTGCTGGTTACATCTTAATTTACTTTATTTCTTTACAAATTAAAGATGCATTGAAAAATAAACCAGTGAAGAGAAATGAGAAGTCCAGAGCAGGGGCATCCCAGGCTGGGAATAGGGAAGCCTGGCCAGCATCAAGCCTAGCCCTTGTCCTGCTCCAGCCAGTTCGGGTTGGAAGATAACTGTCAGCCACTTTATCAATACCCGAGCCCGAGTGGTGTCCCGGGAGGAGAGTACAGAGCTCTGGCCACCTCTGCCTCGCTCCCCAGCAATCCCCAGCTTGGAGAAGCAGTGTTTCCAGTGGGAGCTCAGAGTGGGATGTGGGCTGGCTCTGTGAGGTATTGCAAGTTGATGACCAGGCTTCCTACAGAACCATCCAGTACTGGGGCCTTTCCAGCTGGAAAGTAGGCTGGCACCTCCCCCAGGTGTTAATATACTTTGCAACTCAGTTCCCAGGCTCATTCACCTCTGACTGCGTGCCTCTGTCCACGGAGTGATCACCAATCATTGCAGGAGAGAACAAAAGCATGGAAGCAGAGAAAGCTAATCAACCATCCTCAGTAATTTTGACTTGGCTGCTGACTTCCAGGCCCATGAAGGACCAACCACTTTTCTCTCCACCACCTAAGGTCTAAACCCTAGCTCTTGTGCATCTGTATGTTTTATCCCTAATATAGGAAGTTGTTGATGGCACTGAGCTGAATTAGCGCCCCCCCCCCCTCCCCATAGTAACCCTGGGATCCCCACTCCTTCCTGCCTGTTCCCTCTTCTTGGAGGTTGGTCCAAAGGGACATGGTATCACCAGGGTCTGGGTACCTCCAAATCCCCCAACCGAATCATATACAGTGAACTGAGAAACTACATTCATTACAACCGGATTAGCAGGAAAAGAAGGGCAAAGTGAGGGGATAGGGGCACCTTCTATCAGCAGGACATGACAGAGTGGGAGAATACTTGAGCCCAGAAAGAAGTTGTCTCCTTATACCTCTCCCTCCCCCCCAAAGAGACTGAGGTCAGCTTATGTGACTTATAAGATATGGAACTGTCCTGATTTCCCTGCTGCCTTGGGGTACTTTCTGGAAGCTGGCCTGGGACCTTATGCCTTTACCCACTTGCTCTAGCTCAGTAGCTGCCGAATCTCCTTGTGCATATGACAGAGAAAGTCCACATAGGATGCTCCTCCACTCAGGCTCTTGTCTTCCACCAGGAAGTGCTTGAACAGCATCTCCAGCTTGTCCTCCTGCTTCACCACGATAAGCTATGGCCAGAACACAGCGTCATGAGGCAGAGCCAATGAGAATTAAACATGCCCTGAAACCCCATTATCTAGTCACTCACTCCCTACCCCCCTTCAAGGTGAGAACTTGACCAGGTAAAAAATCCAAGGTTCAGATCAGTGTTACCTTCATGTACCGTGATCTCTGTGCCCTTAAGCTGTCAATGAGGCCTCGAACCTTCTTGGACAGCGGATTATCCAGAACTGGCAGAATACTCTGGAACACAAAATTCATTAATCCTTATGGTAAGGTACTCTGAGTCCAGTCAATATGGGGCAGCACAGATTTATCCATCATCTGAAACGAGGAAGCCTGGGAAGAATGACAGCACCTTCCCTGCCCTCCAAGTGTTCCCTGCTATTTAACGGGACTAGTACAAAAACTTCATTGGTTCCTACCACAAAGTACATTTCCACACCCATATTCCCCTTGACGCCCTGCCCTTACCACGCCACTGGTGATCTGACTGAAGGAGGAGACGCTGAAGAGGCTCTGGACAACACCCTGTTGGACACCTGCTCCCACCCAGATGAAAAGGTTGAGCCCATTCTCCAGCAAATATATATCCCCATTGCTTAGACGCTCTTCAGATGCTCGAATTGCTGGTGGTTCAGTGGTACTCTCAATGGGAGACTTTGTCTAGACAAAAGGAAAGTGGAGAAATGTTACTGAAAGGTGAGACATGTTTACTGCCTCCCCCCCCACAAAAATTTCAGAAAGCTAAGTCCCTCAGTAATTCTGTGAAAATTAAATCACATAACATAGGTAAAAACAAATGTCAGACTCAGATAATATTAATCTTTCCCAGCCTCCTTCTATGATGCCCTTTTCTCAGTGCAGTGTCTCACTCTCCAGCCCTCAGTCGCACCAAAGGTAGGAGCCGAGGATAGAAGAAGACATTGGTCTCAGCCACGTCCATGGAGGTAACCAGCTGTCGGACATAGGCACGGTCATCAGTAGTGACTTCAGCTCCAGGCTGTAGGACATCACTCTTCAACACACAGTTCAGGTAAACTGGGAGTAGCTTCATGCACTCAGGGAGGATCAGCTGAAGGCGGTTATCAAGATAAAGTCAATAATCATGAGAAATCCCTCCCAAATGCAAACATTTGTCTCAACAACTCCTCCACCAACATGCTTGCCCACCTGTCCTGCAGAGGAGGGGCTGGCACAGTTCTTTCTGTAACAGGCCAGGATCTGAGCACACTGGGTGATAAGAGTGTCACGAACAGTCTTCACAGGGCTGTTTAGGACCCCCCGGTATGCTGGATGCGAAATAGAAATAGCACAGTCACTAGTCAGCCACTCCATCACATGTGCCTTCCCACCACATCTACCTGGGTTAACCATCACCTTTTTCAGCCCAAATCCCACCCTGCCCTGCCGCTATCCTCACCAAACTTAGCCATGTAGTTAATGAGCGTGTCAGTCTCACAGTTTCGATACAGATCAGCTAGCTGGGTGCAGCAGTTCAGGGCCAGGTTGTGTATGCGGAGCCGTCGCTGCCCTGCACAGCTGGTGTAAAGCAGGGCACACTAGGGGAAGAAAGAAAAAGGGAGCTTACACCCCTCCCTCACCAATCCCTCTGAAAAACTGCCCCTTTGCTATATTATTAAACTAGAGGAAAGACATGAGCCATCCCTTCCTCAGCCTCTTCTAGGCCTCTCTACCCACCCCTCACCCTCTTCCCTGCAGCCTTTTTATATCCAGTGAAAGGACACCTGAGACTTCCTCTCCAGCCCCTGCCTCCCGCCTGCTGCCTGCCACCTGCAGGAGGGCTCCACTCTCTTCATTGAGCCGATCATCATGCTTGAATTCCACAGTCACCGTCTTTTCCCCATCCAGTCCAGCCAGCTCCACATCTGTTGTGTTGCTCATGTAGAAAGCCCCAAAGAAATCTACAGCACGGATACCTGAGGCCACATGGACAGGGTCAGGGCTAAAGGTATGGTGGGTGCCACTTGCCTCCCTCCTAGATTTAGCCCCCCCACCTGCTCTTCTCAACCAGGACTGACCAGTGCTCGTCCGGACTCGCATCACAGCATCAAAGCCAACGACCTTCTCTACATCCCGACGCAGATCACTCATGAACCGCTCCTGGTCATTCTCCACCTGCAGCCCCACAGGCCCAAAGTCACATCACATAACATCCTGCAAACAATCTCCCTGCATCCCCTCCACTCTGCAAGCTGCTGACCCATAATAACAATAGCAGAAAAGAGGATGATATGGAGGTGATGATGATAATGATACCTTTTAAGCACATTATATGCCAGGTACCACATCAAAAGCTTTATATATAATTACTTAATCCTGATGACAAATCCTAATTAATAAATATTAAAATCCTACTTTACATATGAAGAAACAGACAAGTAATTTCCCCGAGGTCATAGCTAGTAAGTGGTAGGGCCAGAATATCAACCCAGGACTGACTCTAAGCCCCACACTCCCAAGCACTACACTCATGGCTCTCTTCTTCTGTTTTTAAAAAATATATTTTTATTGATTTCAGAGAGGAAGGGAGAGGGAAAGAGAGAGACAGGAACATCAATGATGAGAGAGAATCATTGATTGGCTGCCTCCTGCACCCCCCTACTGGGGATCGAGCCCGCAACCTGGGCATGTGCCCTTGACCGGAATCGAACCTGGGACCCTTCAGTCTGCAGGCCAACGCTCTATCCACTGAGCCACACAAGCTAGGGCTCATGGCTCTCTTCTTCACACTATGCAGTCTTCTCCTCTAACACTATTCCTATTAATGAGTCAGTAGCTAAAGACATGTAGGCAGACACTCCCAGTCCTGTTCCACGTGCCACCCAGAGTCCCATGCCATACCTGAAAGCAAGTATATTTGTAGACAGAGCCACCAGTGAGCTGGGGTACAACAGAGAGCGTCGCCACATCAACATACTGGTTAGGGAAGAGGAAGAGGTCTACACAGCAACCTTGGGCCACACACTCTTTGGCCAAGGCCTGGTAAGCGCCTGTCTGAGGCTGGAACAGAGTCTGGGGAGGAACAGAAGAAAATGTTCAAATATCTCAGCTCCAAATATCTCATATATGTATTATAGAATATTCAAATGTAAATTCAGTCTACTCATAGGAGTTTGTAATGGTAAAGAAATGTTCTCTCTTTTTTTAATATTTTATTGATTTTTTACAGAGAGGAAGGGAGAGAGAGAGAGTTAGAAACATCGATGAGAGAGAAACATCGATCAGCTGCCTCCTGCACACCCCTACTGAGGATGTGCCCCCAACCAAGGTACATGCCCTTGACCGGAATCGAACCTGGGACCCTTCAGTCCGCAGGCTGATGCTCTATCCACCGAACCAAACCGGCTAGGGCGAATGTTCTCTTTTTAAAAAAAATCTACCCAGGGCTTGGCAATGAGATGGGATAGAAAGATGGGGAGCAGTGAAGAAGGTTGGCAGTCACAGATGTCACATGCAAAAGGGCAGAGTATCCAATCCCAGCCCCGCTTAAGAAAATTAAGAATACCGTATTGCATTGGGAAGAGTCACTACCCTCCTCTATAATGGAAAGTTCTCCCCCTTTCTCCCAATCCCACACCTTCTCTTTGTCTGTGTTGATCAACTTCCTGTCATCTCTGTTCTTCAGTTTCCCTGG